TTTGTAAACTGGTTGGATTTGTAAAATCTTTTTTTCAATTATTATTGTATTATAAATCAATTTACTCCTAGAACGTAACTGATGCTGATATATGTAATACGTGATAGAGGTGTTAAGTAAAGTGCATATAAACAATTAACTTTACTGGGATTTAATTTTTTTTAGTGACAACAGAGATATAATAGGAAATGTGTGACCATGTCTTTTTTTTAAGGGAAACTAGCAATCGTATACCCTCATCCCAAATATGGGGTTTATATCTCTCAGTTATTTCGATACGAAAGCGCATGCTCTATGGATGAACAATTTTTAAAACGAGTCATTTTTTTCCATAAAAACGTCAATGGAAAAAAGAATATCAAAAGTCTTGTGAAAGTCACAATGTCGTAAGTTCTATGGTCAATACAATGATTTTGTCAGGAAAAACTACCTATCATTAAGTCGAATGCTAACTGTCCCATCGATTTTATTCATTAATTAGATCATTCTGTTACCGAAACGACAAATAAGATTTTAAGGATAATATTTATAGATATCAATTTTATTCAAATCTACATTTCAAAACATTAAGGACATTGAATAGCATAATTACAACATTATTTAACAAATGAAAGATCAATGAATAAACAACAAAAACAATAATATAATTATATGTAAATTTGATGAAAATGATGGAAAAAATACCTGAATCTATTTCAGCCTGAATAAAGAGAAAATTCAATTTTATTGTAAAGCAATAAAATATGCTTTGATTGAGTACTCTGCATCCTAAAAAATGCAGAACAGCAAAACGTTGTTTGATTAGATGACATCTATACTGAATCTATGATACCAATAAGACAATAAATAAAAAATTATAAAATAGATCACACAAATAAGCATAAAAAATTTAAAGGAATACATGAGCAGTTTTCATACATTATATCAAATTACCGATTACACTGATGGGGAAAATCTACATGAAAACAACAACAAAAGGGGGGCATTGCAGAGCATTTAAAAGCAGGTACAATGTATCATATTTTTAGACAAACAAACTTCTATCCTAAAATTTTTGTTATAAAATGACACTATTTAGCCACGTTTATAGGACATATTTTCAGTATCTATAAATAGAAAATTGAAGGTTTGTATCTATTACAGTAAAAGTCGTTTAGTATGAACACGAATATTGCAAATTCACGGATATAGCGAAGTCATCTTGGATCCCCAGCTATATAAATTTCATGGATTTCAAATACGGATATAACGAATTACGGATATAGCAAAGTAATTTCATACGTCTCCGAGGCTTTGTTTATCCGAGTTTTGCTGTAATTATCAATTCATGAACTGAAATATTTAATTTAATATTTCTAACAAACAGTAGTCCCTAAACCATGTAAACACTAACATTAAACAATAAAGTAAGCTAGGTAAACACTGATCCGCCCAATCAAAATTTCTGACCAGTGATATCAATTAATCACTATTAACTAATTAACTATTTCCCATCTTGTCTCTATTAACTGTATATTTATCACCAGAGTCTGTTTTACTGAAGTTTTTGGAGTTCTGATGTGATTTACATTCATAAAAATGTTTGGAAAATTCAGTGCTAAATTCTTACTAAATCTGGCGTAAATTACAAGATCCAGAGGTTTTCCGATCACAAAGGATATCATTATGGTATTGTATATTCCCTGGGCTTCAAGAATGATGGTCATAGGATTAGATGATGCTAAAACTAATGTGGCATATATGACTAGAGGGACTTCCTGTAGAATAAACGATAAGCCAAGAATAATATTCAATTTAATCAAAATGAGATACAGTATCTAATTTTACTTTTCTTTCCTGTCTTTGGTGCCAAAATGGACATAAACTTTAAATGTTTTTGCATTAAAATTGTGAGTGAAATAACCAACACTATATCCAAAATGATTGGTAAAGCCAAGAAATGAATGAATAAAAAATACTTTCCATACTTTTATAGAAAGGAAAAGATGAAAGTTTCATTAAATTCCGAGTTTAAATCCATGCAACAAGCTTGGATAATTTTAGATTTGTAGTATTTGCCAGGAAGTTGAAACGTCCAAACTCCTTTCAATGGCATACCGGAACCCCAAAGTAACAACAGACACAAAAGACTCAAATGAATTACAACAAAAATCCCAAACAATGGCTTCAAGTTCCAAAACCTCCATTTCAAAGGATATGCAACAATTACATATTGAGAAAAAGACATGAAGCACTTGATCCAAATCGACGTTCCATGAAGATTAGTTTGCAAGTTAAAAGAAGTGAGTATGAATTGGCAGATGTTGTATTCTATATACCCGTAATACATTTCTGGAAGTGTAAGAGCGCCATCTCGAATTCCGTTTAGAAGCGTGATGAGAAGGTCCAGAAGCATGATGGCCACCAGGTACTTTTGCGTGTAGTCGAAAAGCTCGGCCCTCTTGAATACAACAAGGACTATGATAGTAACCATCAATGGAACTAACCACAGGTATGGGGTGAGCATGATAAAGTGTGAAGATTTGCCGTACCAGTCTTCAAATAAAATACCGTTTCCAAGCTCCATATTACGCTTTGCCAGTTTGCTAAAAAAATTCTTTTGGTGTTTCCTCAAAAAAGTATAATTCACTTTTGTTCTCAAGATTTTGCAATAACTTTCGTACAGATGTATTAAGAATACGTCCCTTTTACTGGGCATAGGCGGAATTTATTCCTTCTTAATTGAGAATGAATGATTATATATTGTATAAATATCTTCCTTTATTTCAATAAAATTTTCAAAAGTTAATTCAGTATATATAAATAAATCACATGACATATTGTATTTCAATAAGGTGCTATCAAGAAAAAGTGAAAATTTTAATGGCATAAGGAAGTTCATAAAACCAGATATTAGCTTTCAATGAATGTAAATATTCAGTGGATTGTATTATGTATTGTTGTCACTTATTTCAATTTATAATTTTGTCAAGTTTAAAAGAAAGTATTCATTTAATCAGCCCAACGTCAATTAAACTCTTAGAAATTAATTCTATGTGTTATGAGTATGGACATTAAAAATGGTTTAACAACAGTTTATTGACTTTAAGTACATTGCATACATGTATAAGTTAATTTCCATTTACTAAACACCCTGATTTACAGGTGCCAGGATATATCTGGTGGCACATTACCTGAAATAGGTATATATTTCTGGAAAATATCTATCTGCACGATTACATTCAATTAATAATCTGTTGTGTGAACTGGTTAAACAAATTAACACAATTATGTATATATCAGATAAAGGAGAAAAAAAGACGAAGAGAACAAACAGTGTTTATACATTTCTCTGTTTAAGTAAATATGCTAAAACATCCCATTTTCAACAGTGCAACCAAATTAAAATGAATTCAATTATCTTGTATATCCTAGAATAAGCTCTCAAAATACTGCAATAAAGATTATAAAATACTGGAGAAAATGATTATTATACTTGAAGTAAAAACATTTTTGATCAATGCATCAATATATACGATATCGAATATAAAAATTATTGTTTTCTTTATAGTAATATATATTTTGTAATACTTTGGTATATATTCATTTTGTTTAGCTAAATGAATATAAGATAAATCACAACAGTATTTGATTTCACCTATGCATTATTTAAAGCACATAACAAAGTTTGTTGGTCTTGCCATTTTGTGACCTTTTCACAGAAATGAAAATACGATAGAAGTAGTTCTTAATTTATGGAAAAATAATTTAAATTTCCTGCATTCTCAAACAAAAGATTTTAGTCAGATTATAAAATGGATCTATAAATGTATAAAAGAGAAAAATCTGTAAAAAAGCATTGACGTACGACTAGAATTCGATAATTTTCTTAAAAATTTCAGAAGGCCCTTTCTGTTTATTCACTAAAATAAAACAGAGAGGAGCTTTTTTGGTGAATCAAGGTGCATTAAAATCTAAGATTACTTCCATAATAATTAAACAAAATATAGAGATAACGAACAATAATCAAGCTTAAGTCCCTTGAAGCATTTCAAATCGTGAGCAGAGCAAACACGTAGGAGTAGTAGGAGTAAGGAGCACCTCCTGTCGAACGGTCACATCCGCAGAGTGGTATGATAGGACATCCATAGACAATTCATTGTTTAAATAGTGGCCTTATCATTAGTATGGAAAATTTCAGTCAGGATTCAACTTAATGATTGATTGTACTTGCTGATTATGTCATTGTATTGACCATATAAATATAACATGCAAAATGACGACTTTAAACGACACTTTTTTAATTCCTGTTTTCTTCAACCTGTTATAGAAATCGTAGAGCATGCTCTTCAGTACCGAATCAGTTAAACCAACTCCATTTTAATGTAGGTTATAAGTGTAAATGTATATTACTATATGTACATAAGTGAGGGAAGTCGACGATAGAAAAGTACTGTTGAATTCATCATGTTCATAATATAATTAACTTTTGTTGTTAGGTAACCATTCACGTCTTTTTCTACTAAAATATCCAGATATGAAACATGTCTTTTATTTCAAGTTCACTGGGATACATAGAATCTACATCTAAATAGAAGTAAATACTGTTTATTGATACCTCAATGTCAAGCCACAGGGGCTCGCAATCGTTGTGCAATGATTATTAATTAAAAATCATATACAGTAATACTAAAACAATAGAAGATAGGACGCCATTCTGGACTCCTTCTTAGCTTCACCTCTCTTTTCGTTATATTTTTCACGTATTTTACTGACTCACCGCCTTGGATCTGTCAATTTATCATTTTAAAGCAGTATTTGCCTAAAAAGTCCAACTCCACTGAACGAGCTTCACCTGTCTTAAAATCAATATGCTATTTATGATATATTTAAGGATTCAATATATTTGACTAGAATTTTAAAATATGATTAAACTTAAAATAAAGTAACATTTTGATTTTATTTTAAACATCATTTTTGAAAACATACCAATGAATTAACAAATAAATAAAGTACCAGTGTCCATTATTTGATTAATGTTTTATAAGAGAACTTATCATACAGGTAAACCTAAACCAGTTGATGATGTTATAATTTATCAACTCTTATCAAAAGCACTTTCAGAAATATTTTCTCTGGACTTTTTCTTAGCTTCGGTATATTTCTTTTTATACGTGTAACAGCTATAATAAGTATTGAAACTGGAGGATAAAGATGCGATGGGCATGGCTATCAATAATATACCAAATACAGCGGTCAGAGAAGCCATCAAGTACCCATATGAACCCTTCGGATAGTGATCACCGTATCCAACGGTCGTTATGGTAACAACCGCCCACCAAATACTGACAAACATATTGGGAAATGTTTCTGAATTGTGAAACTCGGCCCAAAACATCGACGATCCAAAAATGACTGAGAAAATTGTGAATAGCATTAAAAGAAGTACTATTAGTTTCAAGCTGTTTTGAAAACATAACTTCAAAATCTTCATTTCACCTGTTGTTTCTGCTAAGCGTAACAGTTTGAAAACTCTTAAAGAGTATAGACATCCAACACATATAATGATTTCATCCAGCCAACTGTTTTGAACAATTATCTCAGGATGTCTATCCATATATATCACGAAAAATGAAATCGTAATCGCAATAATTTCTAAAATGTTTGATGAAACCAAAAAGAATGTTTTCTTCTGATGGGTGATGATAAATCGTAAAATCAGATCAAGCAGAAGAAACACATTAGATATACCCTCTAGGACCACGCGCTCTGTAGGAATTTTCTTGGTTAGTAGCATGGAGAGTTTGGGGTTACTGAAGACATGGTTATACGTATCATTGTCCGATATGGCTGGAATGCTCCCTCTATCCTCCCGGTAGTCTTTATCTGTATTCAAGATGAAGCAGATAATCGCTAGGATTGTAACAACAGCCTCAAAGGTCAACCATATCTGAAATATTCACATATGTACAATTAAAATAACTACACAATTGTAACCACAGACACCAAGCCCAACAGTATCTGAAACATACGATTCAAATAAAATACTATAGACGCCTTAAACAATTAAAATCATTTCCTTCACATGATTTAATACTTTCAACACCTCTAGTTTTTAACTTTAGATATGTGTTTTCTAAAAAAAAAACATATAATGAACCAGAATTGAAGTTGCAAAAACAATAGTGAGAGTAAAGAGTGCCACTCTCCTACAAAATTAAGGCTTTTTAAATGAAAGTTGAAAAAAAAACAGATTTAAATAACCTTTCCAAGAAGACTGGAGCTTGGATCCACCGAGGCTTTGTTCAGAGTATCTCTTAATTTTACAAGCTTTGCTCTTGGGATTATTTTTTCTTTTTCTGTAGGGGAAACGCCATGCATCAAACCAATCTCCATTTTTTCAATTGCTTCATAGCTAGACAAATTGTCATTGTAAAGTATTTCGTAACAGCACACCGGGATTGCTTCAATGGGAATCATCCAGAACTCCATTTCTTCTCTCGCCTCGATGGCACAAATTCCTTTGGGAAGATGAAATTTTCTCCCAGACACATAATCCAAAACATGATGAAAAACAGTAGGGTTTCTGTCAACAAAATAATGACCTGGGGAAATCACATCTGCTCGTCCACATTGGACAAGTCTGTCCATGAATTCTCCGACGGATTTGGAGGAAGTTGTATATTCAGTGCCTCGTAAACTGATGTGGAAACTATCGGTCATGATGATTCCGTCCTTGAAGCTGAATGTCTTGTTAAAAATATGCGGAGAAAATTTAAGAAAAATCTCAAATATTGTTCACATTCAACTTGAAGTGCTATTTCACAAAATACTGAATGTTCCAGAACTGCAGGAGCCTTGATGGAAAGGGGTATTGATTTTATATGATAAAATCAATGATTTTAATTTCTTTTAAAAATTATTTACATACTTTGTTCATTTAGTGAAAGGATATCATGTTCGATACTGGGTTCGTGCAGTTACAATGAAACATGATTTGTCCCTGAAGATAAGTTGATACATACAATGCTGGTAAGATTAATATTTTATGTTCTTTTAAATCTATCTCTGTCATCATATGGTTTCGTCTAATAACGATTTTTGGATGCAAAAATCGGGGGAATAAATAATAAATGTTCTTTTCAAGGTATTTCTATTATCGAATTGAAACAAAGAGTGTGTACTACCTTGGTGAATAGAAATACAGAGGGCTTCATGTCAATTTTAAATGAAGTATCGAAATGGGTAAAAAAAAAAAACAAACCAATTTTACAAAGAGAATCGATTTGACTTTTATGAGAATACCTTTAGATTGAGATTTCAGAATTACCAGATTATCCCAAAACTGATTTTCCTGCTCCATCTCATAAAAAAAATCTGCGACAGTTCAGTGTGTAAATAATGGTCTAACAATTAGTATGAAAAACGTTAGTCAGAATTTTACTTAATGATAGATTGTATTTGCTGACAAGGTCATTGTATCAGCTCATGACTTTAAAGACAAAGGACCCTCTGCTGTAAATTTCACAATTTATTAAAAAAACTTCCTAACATTGATTTTCATAAAGAGCTTTAAAATCAACTTCAAATGGAAAATAGAATAAGGTATAAAGCGCTGCTCTCTTTTTTCAAAAATGCTTTTTATGTAAGATCATGATCAGCATGAAGAAATTTTAATACAGATTATGTAAAGGGTAACGATTCATTGAAATTAAAAATATGAAGTGTACTGTATATGAATATAATATTTAGTATCACACCTATTAAAATCATTAAAAATATCATAAAGAGCTGCTTCCTAAGTCAGAATATCACAATGTTGTATGTGTAAGGACAAAAATCTGTAAGCAAGAGTTACCTTATTTCTACAAATATTTTTTATTGGGAAAAATGTAATATTAATAAATACACATGTACAATGTTGTGAGGTGTGTTGTATTTGTATTGTTTCATCATGTATATTATTAGTAACATTAAGTTTCTTGAACATTCCAGAGTGGTCAACATGTTCGGTCATTTTTTCTAGAACATTCTTGAACTTTGTGTATGTCCAGAACTTTCCAGTAATATCATGTACTTACAACTTCTAGAATTTTCTAGATTTATAGTACTGTATAAATACCCTGTCAATTCGATGCATAAACAATAATTTGTCGTATAAGTAACATTGATGTACAGGTGTATAAAGAGACTGGGATATAATTATACTGGACATTGTGTGCAGCAACGGACACTCTGATGTATGTATTTTTAGATTCTTGCTAAGTTTGTACTTTATGATTTGTATATATTAATGTTAATAAATTATTGTTAAGTTTAAATTGTGTGATTGATCTTTGCTGGCATTTAGGGTTATTCTGACCCATAACAGAATTGGGGGCTCGTCCGGGATCAAGAATTTCTTGCACTTTTGCAGTTTATTGTCAGAATTTTGTTAATTGAATTGTTAAATTAAATTATAAGCCAGCAGAAATCAACATGGTGTTTTCGGTCACAGACTTTCTTAATTCACCAAGAGTTCAGGTTTTTGATACGTTAAAAAAGGATGACTTGATCGCATTAGGTTTGCATCTTGGGTTAGATGTTAAATCCTCTCAGAAAAAGCAAGATATTAGAATAAAGGTGCAAACAAATTAGTAGAAGAAAACATCTTTGAAAAATACGAACTTCCAGAATATACAGTTAAATCAGAGTTAGGCTCTTATAAAATGGCAGAATATCAGTTTCAAGTAGAGTTAGAGAAAATGCGATTTGAAAGAGAAAAATTAGAAAGAGAAGATCGAGAAAGGGAAAGAGAAGAACGAGAGCGTGAACGAAAATTTGAATTAGACAAATTAGAAAGACAAGAGCGAGAAAGAGAGCGTGAAATGAACTTTGAATTAGAGAAATTAAAATTACAGCACAAACCAGAACCGTCAATTGTCAAAACTGAATTTGACGCAGCAAAAAATATCAGATTAGTTCCAAAATTTCAAGAAAAATCTGTAGACAAATATTTCCCCCAATTTGAAAAGGTCGCAGAGAATCTTAAATGGCCACGGAATGTTTGGTCAACGATGTTACAAAGTGTACTGGTTGGAAAAGCGGCTGAGGTATACTCTGCATTAGGGGTAGTTGAGAGTTCAGACTATGAGAAGGTCAAAGAAGCAATATCAAAAGCATATGAATTAGTACCTGAAGCGTATAGACAAAAGTTCAGAAAGTATAGAAAGTTTGATAATCAAACATTTGTTGAATTTTCACGAGAGAAAGAAGATTTATTCAATCACTGGTTTAGATCTAAGAAACTTGATAAAACTTTTGCTAATTTGCGCCAAGTCATCCTGGTAGAAGAGTTTAAGGAATGTGTTCCTCAAGATTTGAAAACACATTTAGAAGATAAGAATGTGAAAACTCTTGAAGAGGCAGCAGTCATATCTGATACTTATGCTCTGTCTCATAAAAAGAATTTTGTATCAAGATCTCAGACTAGCAGTAATTCTATCAATTCAGACACATATAAAAAGAGTGGTTCAGGGTCTCAGTCTTCCACAAGTCTCCAGTCTCCATCCCAAGGTGGTTTTAAGTCCGGTCCAGGACGTGTTGAAGGGTCTTCTGGAATAGGGTCGCTTCCTACTTGTAGTTATTGTAAGAAAAAATGTCATCTGATCAGTGAATGCTTTAAACTTAAGAGAAAAAATGATTTTGATAAAACTCTACCACACGCTTGTGCGGCAGTTAGAGGTGATAGAGAAGCCTTAGTTTCGATTTGTTCTGACACTCCTGATGTCCAGGGTTCACAGTCCAGTTCTATTGATTCTATGGAGGATTATAAGCCCTTTATGTCTCAGGGATTTGTTTCACTTGGTGACTCTAGCGAAATTAAACCTGTCCAGATTTTGAGAGATACTGGTGCTGCACAGACGTTATTGTTAGAGGGCGTGCTTCCTTTGTCTGAGCAGACTTCTATTGGTGGGTCAGTTTTATTACAGGGTGTGGAGCTAGGCGTCATTGATGTTCCCCTGCATAGAATTTGTTTGAAGTCAGATTTAGTTACTGGACCTGTTACTGTAGGAGTTCGACCTACTCTTCCCGTTCCAGGCATTTCCTTGCTGCTTGGCAACGATTTAGCTGGTGGAAAAGTTGTACCAGATCCTATAGTTTGTGAGAAAATCACTTCAGATGTCATGTGTAATGATGAAGATGATGACATATATCCAGCCTGTGTTGTTACCAGAGCAATGGCCAAAAGTCTAGAAATGGAGGCAGACCATACTCAAGCCTTTGACAGTGCAAATTCTTCTACTGATATTGATTTGAATGACACTTTCTTATCTGACCTTGATGGCACTCAAACAAGCATGGAACCACACAATATCAAGAAGTCGGTGACGAATGAACCTTTATCAAAATTTAGTGGTGATGCAGATGAGTTAAATCTACCAGAAAGCCAAGGCAAGGATATCATAAGCCGAGAGTAGTTACTTTCAGCACAACATAAAGACCCAGATATCATTCAACTTAGTAGGAGGGCACTTCCACCAGAAGAGACCACTAAAGTTGGAGAATGTTTCTATATGAAACATGGCATCCTTATGCGAAAATGGCGACCACCTGACGCTTCCCCAGACGAAGTGTGGCGTGTTGTTCACCAAATAGTGGTACCAGCTGCTTATCGTCAAGATGTAGTGAGTTTAGCTCATGATACACCTATGGCAGGTCATTTAGGTGTCAATAAGACTTATAATAGGATTTTGAGTCATTTTTATTGGCCTAAGCTAAGAAAGGATGTTTCAAAGTTTTGCAAGTCATGTCATGTTTGTCAGATGGTAAGTAAACCGAATCAGAAGATACCATCCGCCCCTCTCCAACCAATTCCAGCTTTTGAAGAACCGTTTAGTCGAGTGTTGGTGGATTGTGTAGGACCTTTGCCTAGGACTAGATCTGGGAACCAGTATTTACTTACCATTATGTGTACATCCACTCGATTTCCTGAAGCCATACCTCTTAGGAATATAAAGGCAAAGAGCATAGTTAAGGCCCTAACCAAGTTTTTTCAGTTTTGTAGGAGCACCCAAGGCAATTCAGTCGGATCAAGGCTCAAATTTTATGTCGGGGTTGTTCCAGCAAGTCATGCATGAGTTGGGTATAAGGCAATATAGATCAACTGCTTATCATCCTGAGTCCCAGGGGGCGCTAGAATGTTTTCACCACACCTTAAAAACAATGCTGAAGACCTATTGTTATCAGTATGAGAAAGACAGGGATGAAGGGGTTCATCTTGTGCTATTTGCTGCACAAGAAGCAGTCCAGGAGTCTCTTGGGTTCAGTCCTTTTGAATTGGTGTTCGGTCATACGGTTAGAGGTCCCTTGAAATTGTTGAAGGAAAAGTGGCTGACTGAGACTAGTGATCTTAATCTTGTAGATTATGTGTCTGATTTCAAAGAAAAACTTTACAATGCTTGTAAATTAGCACAAGAAAATTTGAAGAGTTCTCAGATGAAAATGAAATTGTGGTATGACAAAGATGCCAGAAATAGGGTGTTTAAGCCAGGTGATAAGGTTCTTGTATTTTTACCTATTAGTGGTCATCCTTTACAGGCCAGATATTACGGCTCTTGTGAAATTAAAAGCAAGATTAGTGATGTAAACTATGTAGTTAAGACACCAGGTCGACGTAAAGAGAAACGGGTTTGTCACATAAACATGTTGAAAGAGTATTTTGAAAGGTGTGGCCGAAATTCTGTAAAACCAGTTTCCACTTTAGCCAATGCTAAGACTGTTCAAAATTGTATTGAAAGTGATACAAGTGTAGAAATGAATGAGAAAGATTGTAATCAGAG